ATACTTAACCTCGTGCAGGCGAATGAAATATACTAAATAAAGCCGAATAAACTTTTAAGCGTATAATTTTAAATATTTTGAAAATGTTTAGGGCACAAATATGCAAAACCAGCTTGTCTAAAACTTAATGCAGACTAAATAAAATACAGTTGAAAAACGCTTGGCGCATAATTTAAGCCCCGCCGGGATTAAAGTTGCCGAAATGTTGAACAAAAACCAAAAATTGTTTTCATTTCGGGGACTCGACCAAACTTTTGTTGACCTGTAAACGTTTTATCTATGCATAATTTGACCTGTGAAAAAAGAACTGAAATGTGTGTTTGGGTGAGGTATAAAATATATTTTTTCTAATTGGGTCAACAGTTGCATTGTTGCCCGTATATGTTACACGATAGTTCCGCTCAATTGGTCCATTTTGTTGCTCGTGTTGTTGGTATTGGCGCTTTGTCATGTTGGTTAATTAAATTATTTACGTTGATATTTTCGTTTTGGCCTTTTAGTTATTCGAGCTGGACGGCGAAAAAAGCGTCTAATAGCATGTTGCATATATTTTAATTAGCTTTTTCTGCGGCTGCCATTTGCATAATGCAACAATTCCAATTAGTGTTTGTGCGCCTAAAATTTCAATTACATTTTCCACAGCAAATCGAGCTAGTCCCCATTAAAAAAAAAAATAACATACACGTGCGTTATACAACACTGGCTGATCGAAAAATTCCCTGAAATTATTGAAATATATAAAATGTAGCACACTTTTCAGCGCCGCGCTTGGCTGTGTGTGTGTGTGCAAAGCTTCAAATTTCTATCATATCATTTGTTGCTCATTTAAATACCGTAATTAAGTGATAGCATGGTATCTATTTATATGCTGACTGTTGTTGTTGTTGTTGCTGTTGTTGTTGGGCCTAAAAGCCCTCGCGTGCACACACGCCTCGCTTGGCGTGGCCCGAGCTGCCGGATTTAAGCGCAAACAGTTGCTTATTTTGAAATTTTATTTAGAGCTAATTGTTTCCTGCTGCGCCAGCTACCCGGCTACCCCGCTTCCTTCCCCCCGCCCTACACCTCCTGCTGCCAGAGAGGTCAGCAACAACAGCAACAGCAACAACAAACCACAGTTCGCACACACTCTCGCACACACACACACGCACACAACAAGCAAACCTCGCACACTTTCGTTCTCTTTCTATCTTTAGCACTCACACACACACACACACACACATATATGGCAACCTTTTGAAAAGCTTGACCGAAAGCTGCACACACACATTGGCAACGCTACGCCCGACGCGTCGTCCGCACTTCGATTGTTTGTTTATTTGCTTGTTTGCCTTTGCCTGTTCACACTTCGCGTCGCAGCGACGTCGACGCTCGCTGCTGGGAGGCTGAGCGGCGCGAAGGGGTAAGGGAGGTAAGGAAGGTAAGGGGCAAAAGCAGCTTGCTGTGAAGTATTGCAAATCGATGGCAAAATATAAAACTGTATTTTTTAAATGCAGCATATTTCAGTTATATATGTGACACAGTTATTTAGCAATGTATTTGGATTGGCACATTGGGACAATTTCCGCAGTACGACTGCCAATTAAAGAAAAACGACGAGTTTTTTCATTTCTGGTTTCTTAGTTTGATTTCCGAGAGCCCAATTTTAACTATTTCGGAGAACTCGCTTCGATGCGCTGCACACTAAAAAATGTGAAGAATATTTAAATAAGACCCTACTATGCGATTCTCAGGAATTCAAATAAGACATGCATGTTTTCTTTCCTTGACTTTTGTATGTGTATGTATGTTTGTCAATGTGTATGTATTTATTCATATTTGGATGTCTTCATTTATTACGCTGCAAATTAAAAAAGTGAAGAATATTAAAAGAGCCCTACTATGCGATTCTAATGAACTCAAGAATTAGAGAATTCAAATTTATGATATACAGGCTTTCATTCCAGGACTTTTGTATGTGTGTATGTATGTAACTGTGTGCGTTTTTATTCATGCTCGGATAACTCCCTTCGATGTGCTGCAAATTAAAACAAGTAAGAGGTTCCAGTCGGGAGCTCCCGACTAGGGGATACCCTGAACCCTCTTGTTCCAACATCAAATGCATATATATATTCTATTTTAGCAGCTATATGTCAAGTTTGGTGACTCTAGTTCTTATTATTTACCAAAATTGCCCAAAAAACAGGATATCGATATCGATTTTTATCGATTGCTTGGAAACGGAGTAAGTTATCGATTATCGGAAACAAACTCGATCTGCGCGGGAACTAGGAGCACCTACATCAAATTTCAAGTCTCTAGCTCTTATAGGTTCCGAGATCCTTGCGTTCATACATACGGACGGACGGACGGACGGACGGACGGACAGACGGACATGGCTAGATCGACTCGGCTATTGGTGCTGATCAAGAATATATATTATTCTATATATTTTGCACAAATACAATATACCCTTATACCCATTTTTAATGTGTTCAGGGTATAAAAATTACGCATTTGTTTAAACAAATTAGCTTTTTTTTATTCACAGTTTGTATTTTACTTTGATAAACTAGCTGAGTTGGTCATAAAAAATCGCAGCATACACGAACCGACTTATTTTAATAAAACAAACAACGAATAGTTTTGAGCTTCGAGCTCTCCAGCAACGAGTACTCGAAACGGCAGTCGATCTGGAACTGAGCTAATGCTTTTCTTTCAAGGAAGGGATCTCTACAACTTTGCATTTTCGATTTTTGAATGCGGGCGGCCTTAAAATGTTGTGCTTATAGCCTTCCGGTCGGGCATTTCTCATTATTTTAAGCTACGATAAAATGAACAGTGGGACAATTTGTGTTTTATCGTAAATGAATTACAGTGGGTTTCACACACAAGAATATTAAGAGAATATAATAAATCAAAGCGATAATGCAGCCACGAAACGATAAAGGACGGAGCAGGCATGAGGTACATCCGTGTGTATGTATCTTTACTTTTAACTAGTGCCCTTCTATGCGCTTCTCATGAAATCGAAATACGATTGTTCATGCTTTGATTGAAAGTCATGTATCCACAGGCTGTGTCGCGAAACCTAATCCCTTCTCATATTCTCATTTTAGATGACTTTGATTCTCTCTCACTCTCTTTTATTCTTGCTCTCATTTTAGTCCCTTTTTCCCGCTCTTACTCTTATTCGCCCTGTTTCCTCAGTTCTCTTAGTGCCTTATTTGCCTCCCTTCTAGTTATAGATGACAAAGAATAATAGTACGTATGTGAGTTTTGGGTAAGGTACGTGTCTATGTTTTCACCGTGGTACACCGTCACACGATGGTCCCGCGCTGCACAACTGTTCTGTCCGGGTTCGTGCAGGCCTTACCAAGCGAAAAAGCACGATCTCTAAAGTCTAGAGTAAAAAAATGGCAGTATGATCTTTAACGTACAGTTTCCGAGTTCTCCAAGCAAGCCGATCGCAAATAATAGAAATTTAGAGAGAAAGATTGAAAATTCCTGTTCTAAATATTGAATAAGGCGAAAAATTTAAAATTTCTCCTTTCTCGAACATTTAAATCAATTCAGAACCAGTTAACGTATGTCTCCTAATATATATTTATATAATATATGCATGCTTATATTGCTTTAACATATGTCAGTAAGTCGGCCTTTCGAGTGCATTTCTTAAAATCAATTGCTTTATCGTGTGACGCACATTTTCAAGTACTCTCGTTCCACTGTGCATGCTGTGCACTCTTTAAGTGTAGAAATAATCCGCAGTGCACAGGTCAGCATTTGCCTTGGTCCGAGCTGCCCATCATCTGGTCACACTCCGTTGTCCCCCTCCCCCCTCTACTAGTGCACCCTATGCCAATTGCAGCTTGTGTTACCCCTCCACAGCATACGCACCGTTAACCTTGCCAAACGACCCCAGTCAGCAGCTCTGCAGCTGCAGCTAATGAAACGCGCGCTCTTCCATTCTCTCTCTCGCTGTCTCTCTCTGTTTCTCTTTCTGCTTAACTCTATCTCGCTCGCAACCACAGCAAGACGTGTTTAAATTTAGTTTTTGTTAATTTTCGTTTGTTGTCCGTTTGCCTGCCTGCAAGCTTGCATTGTTGTAGCTGTTGTTGTAGCGGTTGTTGTTGTTGTTGCTATCTGCTGCAGCCACTGATAAGCAAAATTTAAAGTTGTTGCGGTCGCTCGTTCAATTTGAGACGAAACATATGTTTGCCCTAAGTGGCAGAGGCACTCACGCTGCGTTGTCGCCGTTGTCTTTATTTCCTTCTGCTGATAAACGCTGCCGTTCGGCATTGACTCAGCCGCTGCTCGGCCGCTGCTCAGCCGCTGCTCAGCCGCGACATTCGCAACGGGCCATATCCGTTTGAACTGCCCCACTTATCGCCTTGCAGCTAGCTTTGCTTATACAAATATTTTTGGATATTTTTGGCACGCCGAATATCAAATACCCTATAGAGGTATTTTGATAAGAAATATCTAATAAATGTTCTCAACGGAAGTGTGGGGAATATTTCATAGATTGGGTACAGTATTTGAGTTAAGTTCTTGTCGTTGATTTGGCCGTAAAATACTTGATGATATTCTCTAAGTGTACGCATGCATTTTTATATATATATATGTGTGTGTGTGCGTGGGTGTTTGCACATATTTCGCTCAGGTTAAATGTTTAATTTTTTGTGATATTTACCATTTGCATTAACCCATTTGCACATTGTTTAACGCAACAGTTTTTGCGGTTAATTAAACATTGCGGTCGCTTATTTTTGTGTAAACAAAAGATAAAAACAAGATAAATAAGTTCCGTTAATCAATAAATTTATGTTTCGTGCATTTATTTGGATATTGATAAAAAACGAACTTAAGACGCGTCTTATCTCAGTGCAGAAATGTGTAAATATTTGTTGTTCAGCTTATGTTATGCTAATGATATTTTTTATTTGAACAAGAAGGAATTGATAGGAATTTAAAAATACTTCTCAACAGTTTTATTTCAAATTTAACAACTTTTTTTACAGATGTGGCAACACTCTCACATTAGTTTGGGCTTTACCATTCGCGCTGCTGTTAAGGGACAGCAGGCTGTTAGTTAACATGCGCCAAGATACGCCGCTGTTAGTTCACAGACAGCAATCAATCGCGTCGCAAGACTGATGCGAGATTAGAGTACAATTCGAGCTCCAGCAAGCAACAAGTGCAGCCAAAACGATCAATCAATGTATTAGTATTGTCAGTAAACTAAAAACTCTAACATTTGTGTGGAAAAGCCGCAGAACATAAGCAAAAATGCAGCAACGCCGGCAAACGAACAGCAGCAAAATGATTTCTCGGCTGCCGCTGTTGTTGCCGCTGCTGCTGCTAGTCAACTGCTGTGGTGAGTAATTTGCCAAGAATTTTTTTTTGCCTAATTTCTGTTCAGGCGAAGCACGTAGCAAGCTGGAGTTGAATGAACTTGTTGCCATAATGCACGCACACGCACGCACGCACGCACGCACGCATGGAATAACAGCAACAATAACATTAACACACACATACACACGTGATCGGTGACAGCTGATTTGGCAGCCAGAGCGACTTGTTGATAACCTCTTGAGCTCAGCTCACACACATTGTCAGCTTATGCCGCTATGTGAAAGTTCTTCCAAGTTGCTAATGACGTGTTCTATCTTCCTCTCTCTCTCTCTCTCTCTCTATTTCTGTTAAGCAGCCGCTGCGGGCGCCTCTTTAATACCCGCGAGCTCGCAGCAGTTCTTTGCGCTGACGAGCAAGGTGAGCCTGGAGCCGCTCTCGGGCAGCGAAGCAGAGGATGTCAGCTACAGCTTTGAGACGCAGCTCAAGATAAGCTCCGTGTGGAGCAGAGATGAGGAGCAGCTGCTGGAAATCGAGCTGAGCAAAAGCCGCGTCAGCGCAACAGCACAGCAGAGGGAGCGCGAGATCAACAGCTTGCCGGACAGACCCTTCTACGTGGCCCTGGTGCAGGGCCAGCCGCAACAGGTGATTGCGCACACGTCCCGCGATCAGTCGCTGCTCAATCTGGAGCGCGGCATCGCCTCGCTGCTGCAGCTGCGCCTCGCCAGCAGCGACAGCGCAGAGAACGAGCTGGACGTGTCCGGGCATTGCCGGGTGCGCTACCATGTGAAGTCTTCGACGCGCGTGGAGAAGACCAAAACGGACTGTGCGCTGTGGGATTTGCGTGTCAGCTATCATCCGGAGCAGGCGCTGGGCGTGTCGCAGCAGTCGCAGGAGCACGTGGACTACGAGCTGAGCGCGGATGGCGCACTGCTGCGCGCCGAGTCCATGGAGACGCACCGCCTGACGCTGACGGCCAAGCCGGATGTGGGCAGTGTGGTGCGCGGCCGCCTGCGACTGCAGCATGTGGCGCAGGGCGGGGAGGAGCAGGTGCCACAGCTGCAGCAGCCCACGCTGGATGCGGCCATTGACAGCTTGTTGGAATGGTATCGCGTATTCGAGCTGGAGGCGGATGTGGACGGCGTCATCAGCGAGCTGCAGGAGCAAACGGTAGGCATATCCTTTGCTGGATACTCCATTTCACTCCATTTCACTCCATTTAATCCATTCTCTCGCCCATTGACAGCTGCAGGCGCAATTCGAGCGCAGCGTCAAGGATTTGCAAGCGGAGCACGTGGGCAAATTCTCGCTAGCGCTGGCCTTTGCCCAGCTGCTGCCCTTGGCGCGCATCGCCAAGCAGCCGCAGTTCGAGGCGCTGCTGCAGTCGCATCCCAGGCTGGCCGGCCAGCTGATGGATCTGCTGGGCGCCGTGCAGACCTATGATGCGCACAATGCCAGCTTTGCGCATTTCTATAGAGGATCAGACACCACGGCGCAGTCGCTGGAGCTGCTGGAGAAGTATCTGCAAGCGCTGGCCGTCGGCACGCACCCGGAGCGCCGCATTCTGGAGCAGCTCTTCGACTTTCTGCAGCAGCCGCCGGCGCACAAGTCGCACGCCAAGCTGCGGGACAGCGTGCTCCAAACGCTCGCCACGCTCACGCGCCAGAGCGGCCTCGATGTCAACGATCAGCTGCTGCAGCAGATACGCGTCCATTTGCTGGAGGGCCTCGCCTCCTCGTCGGAGCCCATCATGTACACACGCGCCCTGCAGAATCTGCGCGATCCGCAGACCATTGACGCACTGCTTCAGCAGGCGACGCAGTCGCTCCAGCCCAAGCTCTCGGTGGCCGCCTTGCAGGCACTCAAAGCCTTCCCAGCTCTCAGCTATGCGGAGCCGCATCGTCGCCAGTTCGAGAGCATTTTCTATCAGCGCCAGCGGCGCTTTGACAGTTCCGCCCGCACCCTGGCCCTGGACATGCTGCTGGCCATGCGTCCCAGCGCCGAGCAGCTGGGCCAATTGCTCGATTACTTGGCCTCCAACGATCGCCAGTTTGAGATTAAAACTTATGTGCTGCAAAAGCTGCGTATGCTCGCCGAGATTTGCCCACGCTTCCGCGCCATGTTCCAGGCGGCGCTCAGCCAGCGAGCCCACGTCAACAACTACCACGTGCTGGGACAGCGGGGTAATTATTGAGATTTCATTTATGAATCCACTTTAAATATATATATATATAGCTATAGGTAGAAATTTCCCAGTCCCTTATTCGGGCAAAGCCAAGGTATACCCGCTAGCAATCTATAAATTTGCTTCTCATTGTGAGCAGTGGGTCAATCAATCATTCAGTCATTCAATTAGTCAGCCATTTAGTCAATTAAACAACAAGTTGTCTGTAAATTATGCAGTACATCAATCAAGTGTCTCAGTCAATCAAGCAGATTATCATCCGTCAATCAGTCTCAGTCTGTCAATCAGTAAATTTATTAAACCTTTAATTAATCAGTCCGTCAGCCAAGCAAACTTTATTTAATTATAAATTCAATTACGTCAGTCAATCAGCTACGCAATCAATCAAGTCAATCAATCAATCACTTTATCAATCGAACAGTCATCACAAAGAATTTTGTATACAACTAAACAGTATTTCAGTCTGAAAGTCTATCATTCAATCAATCAATCATTCAATCAGCTCCATGAGTTATACAACCAGATATACTTCGATTTGATTCCCAACTCCCTTTGCTTTTTCAGGTCTCACCACCGTGTTGACCCGTCAGCTCTCCCAGTCGCCCGCTTTCAACGAGACCCTGCTGAGCACCCAGGAGGTGTACCAGGGCATCTTGAAGCGTGGCTCCGTGGAGTTCCTGCTGCACGCGGGACGCGCAGAGGCGAGCAGCTTTAAGCTGGGCATCTACACCGCAGGCCTGAGCTCCCTTGTCGGCGATGGCGATGCGGATGAGGGCAATGGCCAAATACCGGCGGACGATGAGCTGGAGCAGGAGGAGACGGTCACTGCGGGCATGGAGATAAGTGTGCAGGGCGCACAGCTGCGTCCGCTGATCTTTTTCAACGGGCAAACGGAACTCATGGGTCATGTGTGGGGCGGCAGCGCCTCGGAGACAACGCCGGCATATCAGGCGACCACGCTGGCGCAGGATCATGAGCAGTACATTGTCCTGGCATCGGGCGCGACGCTGCACTGGCGTGTGCTGGGCGCCCGAAGCGTGGATCTGAATGGCAAGGTTACCTTCAGCCTGTGGAATCGCAATGCCCAAACGGAGATACAGCAAAAGTGAGTTTTGAGGAATTGTGAATTTCGATTTCAAATACATTTGTTGATCCATGCTTTGCAGCACGGGCAGCGCTGTGGTCTCCCACCTAGCTGTGGGCTTCACCTACGCCAAGCTGGTGCAGGATGTGACGCTGCGGCACGAGCCCAAGCTCAGCCTGCAGGCGGATCTGGACTTTTATGACAACATGAAGCTCTGCATGCAGCTGCAGAGTCCCGAACAGTTGCTCACGTTAGTCTACACACATTTAAATTATACAATTTCTCGTTCACATATATATATCCTATATATCCAGACAATCCAATGAGCGCTCCGTTTATCTGCAGTCGGTGGAGAAACCGTATGCCAAACATTTGCGTTCGACGCGGACACACAAATCGGCTGGCCGCACTTTTGCTTTGAATCAGAAGAATAACGAGATGTGCAACATTATATTTGCATATTCCTAAGATTAAAATTGCATTTATCTATACTTTAAATAATTAATTTGGCTATGTAAAAAGCACAGAGAATAAGACTCAAAGTAATTGTAAACTGGCACAGAATTTATTACATTTAGTAGTGCAATTGCTCAGAGCTGAATTCAAATGCGCGCCTAGTCAGTGTTGTAAAAGCACGAACTGAATGTTGCTATTTAAATTATTTTCTGGCCTAACAATGTTTTAACAGAGCATGTCCTACAATTTATAAAAACTGCAGATATGCGATTGTTTAGTAATCTTTAAAAATGTTTTAAAATGCGCGCTTCTCTTGTGCAGTGTTGAACAGTTTTGCGCTGACTCAATTGTCATTCCGATAGTTCGAAAAGTAAAGTTATCGGCTTAGCATAATTTTAACAGCTGATGTCAGCAAGTTATAATGTCACTATTACAAAATTTTCTATTTAACATCTATCAAATTATTGTATTTAAATTTAAATTTTAAGTTGATTGTAATTGTGTTTAATTTGCCAAACTTTGACTCGTAAATCGTTAGTTGAGCTGCGCAATTAACAGCAGCTGTTAACATATTTGTTATCAGTCTGTAAAGCTGTAAGCGAACAGCTGCGCTCTCGGAGAGTCTGTTAACTTAACAGTTGGCTTACAGTTGCGTGTGTCGCGGGAAATATTTATTTGTTAGAAATAATGAAATATTAATTAACGAAAATAGCAACAAACGTTGAGTTGCATGTGACGAACAAGTGCTAAGAGGTAAAAACAATGCGCCTGAATGCCATTTCAGAGGCTGCTGTAAAAATTAGGCCAAATTGTAATTGTGTTACTTTTGCAATGTGCGTGCTTATGTGTGTGTTTGTGGAGGCCTGGCCGCACGCATACTTGTAAACGCGGGACAGTCCCTAGGGGCCTAGTTTTGTTGTTGCAGGAAAAAAAAGAGCAAAAATGTTGCTAAATATAAAACCCGCTTGTTTGTGATTGTTGTTTATTTTAACTATTGTCAACTATAAAAAGCGTTAAAA